AGCACAGGGTGGGGCAGGCCCCACCCGGGTCTGATCCTCCCGGGAGTGGCCCAGAGCAGAGCCTGAAGTCACCCCCAAGCACCACAGGGTAAGCCCCGCCCTTCTCCTGCCAAGAAAATAAACCAAATGTACATCCCTCAGGCGTTGGCTGAACCAGACAGGATGAAGACTAGCCCCTTCAAGAGCCTGTGGGGCTGCACCCCCACACCTGCAGGCGGGACTCGGTTTGGGGGCCGGTCACTGGTGGGGTCCGGACCACCCATTCCAGCAATGCCCGAGCCAAACTCCTCAACACTGGCCGCAAAGCCACTGCAAACTCGCTCTCCTCCCTCGCCCAACTCGGCAGGAGACCCCTGGGCGCCACCTCAGGAGAGAGCAAGTGTGAGGGGCCAGGCTTCCCGCAGAGCGCCCTAGAGCAGGACCGGGGCCTCCCTCCTAACAGGAGCAGACCTATCGGGACTCCAGGACACAAAACAGTCGTGAGGTTTCTCTTTTCTTCTTTTGCTGTTTGGGTCCCCTAAACAGATCCTGATCCTTTATAGAAGCGGTACTCCCTCCCCCTTCCCTTGTTTATTTGGTTAGGGTACATTTTAGCACAGCGGGTAGGGCGTTTGCCTTGCGCGAGGTAGACTGGGGTGAACCTGGGTTCGATTCCTTCACCCCTCTCGGAGAGCCCGGCAAGCTACCGAGAGTATCTCGCCCTCACAGCAAAGCCTGGCAAGCCCCCCATGACATACTCGATGTGCCAAACACAGTAACAACAAGCCTCACAATGGAGATGTTACTGGGCCCGCTCGAGCAAATCGATGAACAACGGGAGGACAGTGCTATAGTGCTTTTTGGGTCACACCCGGCAGTGCACAGGGGTTCCTCCTGGCTCTGCACTCAAGAATTACTCCTGGCGGTGCTCGGAGAGACCACATGGGATGCTGGGAATTGAACCCGGGTCAGCCAAGTGCAAGGCAAACGCCCTCCCCGCCCTGCGATTGCTCCAGCCCCAGTCATGAGGTTTCAACGGTGCGTCTCTGCCTCAAGGAAGCTTCATCTGGTACAATACAACACGCTGTAAAAGACTGCGTGGTTTTATCTTTTCAAATGCTTTTAAAATTTGTTTAAAAAATAATTCAGCTGGGGACTGGAGAGATAGCACAGCGGGTAGGGCGTTTGCCTTGCACGCGGCCAACCGGGTTCAATTCCCAGCATCCCATATGGTCCCCCGAGCACCGCCAGGAGTAACCCCTGTGCATTGCCAGGTGTGACCCAAAAAGCATCAAAAAAAATTTTTTTTCGCTGGTCCAGGGGCTGAAGCCTTAGTCCCGCGGGGAGGGCGCCTGCCTTGTGTAAGGCTGACCCCAGAGTTTGATCCCGGAGTTCCCGGAGGAGCACCGCCAGGAGGGATCCCTGGGCGGAGAGCCAGGACTAAGTGCTCGCACTGCCAGGTGTGGCCCCAAAACAATAACAGAAATTCACTTGGTGGCGTCAGCGCGAGGGCGGGTCTGCGCCTTCCGATAAGGCTGACAGGAGGCAGTAAAAGCTCAGCTCTGCTGCTGCGGCCGCGCTACTTCCCTGTCGCGAAGGCCCGCAGAAAGTCGACCTGCTGTGTGTGTCTTGGTTGCGTTTTGTCTGAGATCACCAGGGCCTGCAGAGGGTGTCCTGCTATGAAAGGGAGGGGCCTTCACTGGGGTGGGGGGCCCGAGGAGACCCTCTGAGGAAGCTACCTGAGCTCCAGCCTGCAGGGGGAGGAGGAGGCAGACAGTGCTCCGGGCAGAAGGAAAGTGGGGGGGAGATGCCTGCCGGGCACGTGGCTGACCAGGTCGGTCCCGGCACCCCACAGGGCCCCCTGAGCCCTGCCAGGAGTGACCCCTGAGCGCACAGCCAGGAAGAACCTCCGAGCACCGCCACGTATGACCCCCGAACATTATTTATTTATTTTTGCTTTTTGGGTCACACCCGGCAACGCACTGGGGTTAGTCCTGGCTCATGCACTCAGGAATTACCCCTGGCGGTGCCCGGGGAACCATATGGGATTCTGGGAATCGAACCCGGGTTGGCCGCGTGCAAGGCAAACGCCCTACCTGCTGTGCTATCAATCCAGCTCCAAACATTATTTTTTTTTTTAAGAAGAAAATGCAGGGGCCGGAGCGATAGTACAGTGGGGAGGGCATTTGCCTTGCACGCGGCCGACCCGGGTTCGATCCCCGGCACCCCATATGGTTCCCCAAGCACAACCAGGAGTGATTCCTGGGTGCAGAGCAAAAAGGAAAAAAAGGAAGAAGAAAACGCAAGTGCAGGACAGAGACAGCTGGGCCTTAGGAGGTGGGTCCGGGCTGAAGAGACGAAGAGACCACTAGTCAGCGGGCCGCCACGGAGGCTTCACACGGTGACCAAGGGGGCACCTTTGCCTCCCATGTCTGTATCGTGTACACACGCCATGTGCTGACCATACAGATAACCAACAGGGCAAATACACACGCAGATATACCGACATCATGGTGGGGCGGCCCAGAGTCACTCAGGTTGGCAGTGCTGGGGGACCAGGGCCACACCCAGTGGGGCGGGGTGCGGGCTAGGGGGTGTTCCGTGTGTATGTGGGGGGGGGGGCGGCGCTCATGGGACCCAGGCCCCTGAACACGTAAGGCAAGTGATCGGCCACTTGTGGCGCATCACTGGCCCCTCAATTTCTATTCCGGTCACTTCCTTTATTGTCCTTGGGTGGCACTCAGGGGCTCCTTCTGGGGGTGCTGGGGGGGGTGGGGACAGTGAGCTGAGGGCCCAGTCCTGCCTGAGGGAATTAGACGACTTGCTGGGGTCCACGGCATGCCAGCCACATTCCTGGGTCTCTAGACCGTCTCTCCCGCCCTCAATTTTTAAACAAAAATCGTGGGAGTGGCTACCTTCACGGGAGATTCAAAGGGAGACGGACTGTACTGGACTTTTACCTCGAAGATCAAACTTCCCTGGCTAAGGAGAGCTAGGCAGGAACCCTGAGCTAAGCCTTTGGGGCGGGGACTGGTTCAGGTTGCAAGATTCCTTCGACCCTGGTCCTGTGCAGTCCGGCCCCCAGGGCAGCCCCGGGCTCTCTCCTGGGCAGGGGCCTGCTGTGATGTGACAAGTTCCTGCCCAGAAGCGTCCCTCTCATCCCTCTCCCTCTGCTGCCTGTCCTGACCCTGCACAAGAATTCCCCTATGGCCGCTGACCAGACCCAGACCCAGACCCAGACACACAGACACACAGACACACAGACACACACCTCGCCTTCTCCATGAACCCCTCGTCCAAACATCTCCCGCACATGGCCTTGCAAGTGGGTCGGGGTCCAACCCACACAATCCTTCCCTGCTGGATCTCAACTCAGCTTCAAATCACCCCCTTTATCTCCCCAGCCACTTTCCTGACCTCTGACCTCCGGGCACCGCCCCCACCTCTGCTCTTTGTTCTGGCTGGCACAGGCTCCCCCAAGCCACCAGACGCCTCTGCCTCCAGCACCTGCACCCCCCCCCCAACACCACCTCTAGCCGCGGCATGAGCCGGGGAGGGCGAGGAAGCATTCTGTAAACAGTCCCGGGCTGCTCTGGAGGGTCACTCGGTGGACTTTCCTCCAAGCCCACAGAGCAGAGATAGACAATCTGTGGAATTTCAAAGGGCTGGGAGTGGTCTGGGGCTTATCAAGCGATGGGAAATAAAGTTTGCCTTTCGGAGGAGAGCTGGGGGCCTCGGGGCTGGATCACAAACACAGTTAAGGCTTTGAGCGACCCCAGGACAATGGGCTCCTGATCTGGAAGGTTTTTCCCAAACCAAAGACAAAGGGGCGCACTGGCCCTCTCACACGGAGCAGAGAGCACAGGGGCCAGAGGGGGCGGCCCCTGAGGTCCAACACTGCAGGACCCCATGGGCCGGGGTCGGGTGGGGGTATCCTGGGGAGTGCCGCCCCCCCTTCCCCCCCCATCAGGACTCAAAATAGAAAAGAAATGCTTTGTCATCTAGAGAATCAAACGTTTTCAATGCTCTTCTGCAAGACTAAAACCATGTTTACATTCCTCTGAAGCAATGGCTCACTACTGTCATTTTCCAGATAATTAACTATTTCTGTGGAGACGCCCCTCAAAGAGAGGGGGGAATCACCTGGAAGCCAGGCCTGCCACCTGCCGGGGGCCCACGGGGCTGGGCTGAGCATCGCTCTACCAAGCCGGAGAGAGGGGGGAGGAGCCCGGGCGGGCACCCGACGCCACAGGACACAGGAGGCGCACACACTGCCCCTTCCGGCAGTTACTGGCCCTCAACACCGCACGAGAAAGTTGGTCACCAGAGCCCCGAGTGTCCTGGTCTCCTGAGCCCCGCATGTTCTACGTCTTCCTGGGCGGGTGAAAAGCAATGGAGCAAAGGTCCAATAAATTCATAGTTTCCATTTAAGTGATCTAAGAGCAAGGGCTGGAGAGACAGTCCAGCAGGTGTGGCCTTTGCTTTGCATGTGGCTGATCCAGGTTCAATCCCCGGCATCCCCTGTGGTCCCCTGAGCCCACCAGGAAGGACCCCTGAACAGAACCAGGAGTCAGCTCTAAGCACTTCCACGTACAAGCCCCAAACCAACCAACCAACCAACCAACCAACCAACCAACCAACCCACAAAGCGACCCGAGCGCTGGAGAGAGAGTACAGAGGGGCTTGCCTTGCACACGGCAGGTCCTGGCTGATCTCTGGTGCTGGGCAGGGTGCTCTGAGCACTGCCAGGATTGAACCCTGAGCACAGAACAAGGAGAAAGCCCTGAGCACTGTTGGGTGTGGCCTAAGCGCTCTGAGCACTGCCAGGATTGAACCCTGAGCACAGAACAAGGAGTACGCCCTGAGCACTGTCGGGTGTGGCCTAAACACTCCCCACCCCCACACACACTGGATTTTTTTGGTTCGTGAAGCTCATGGCCGTGTGTGCGTGTGTGTGCATGTGCGTGTGTGTGTGTGTGTGTGCGCGCGTGCGTGTGTTTCCCGCGGCCATGGCCACTCACCCTTTCTCTGAATGAAGATCCGCAGCAGCGGGCTGGCCGTGGACACGGCCTTGTGGTAGTTGTCGTCGTTGTTGATGGGCAGCAGGTCCCCGTGGATGTCGGTGTAGCCCACCAGCACGTCCACGTTGGGGATCTTGTGCACATGCTGCAGCAGCCCGTAGAACTCCTCGAACCGGCCGGGCTTGGACCGCTCCAGCGAGAACCGGCGGAACTCGGCGCCGAACTAGAGACAGAACACGGGACGGTCAGCCCGCGCAGCACAGGACGACAAATGGACAGGCCGGCCGGGGGACGCGCCTTGGAGGCGGCCTCCTGCAGGCCACCAGCTGTCCCCAGAACCTGCCACCCCCGCGCTGGGGACAGTGGCCCGATGACTCAGCTTGGATTCTCCAGGCACCTGGACCCTCCCTTCCTGCAGGAAGCTAACTCCCCCCCCCCCCACCACCACAAAAGGCCCGTTGTTTCTTGGGGGAAGCAAGAAACACCCGGACACTTTCAGAGTAGGGGTCAGGGGAGACTGAGGCCCGAGGTCCAATCCTAGGCACCAAATACCACATGCCAAGAAGCCAATACAAGGACCGAGTTTTCTGGCACTAAGGTCCTATACAAAGGTCGGCGTGTTTGCAAAGAAACGGGCTTGGAGACAGCTGCAGCATCTTCACCATCATACTCAGGAAAAAAAAAAAAAAAACACCCCAGCTCTCTCCAAGCGTGTCCAATTAACACACAGGTGTTTGCACGGTGGCACAGGGACAGGCCCCGGGGACCCACAGTGCAGGCTGCCACCAACCCCTTGTGGGGCCGAGAACCACTGACCCGCTGGAAGACGCCAGGACGCCCCCACAGGGCAACGCCCAGTCCCGCCCCTTCCAGTCCCCTCCCCCAGGGCCGTGCCTCCCCCAAAGTGGTGCTCACAGGCCACAAGGAACTGGCTTCATCTGACCCAGGAGAAATAAGAGCTCTGGCTTGCCCCGGGCACCGCCTGGCACTGCCTTCGGTGTGGAAACGTGAGTCCGTCCTCCCCCAGCGGCCCCCAGCCCGAGGCCTGGGCACTGCACGGATCTGTGTGCGTTGTAACAGGGGAGCGGATACCACTGCTGCCTTCACTGATTTCAGCCACCTGATTCTTTTGTTTGTTTGTTTTTGGACCACACCTGAGGATGCTCAGGGCTCACTCCCGGCTGGCTCTGCTCAGGGAACCAAATGGGATGACAAGACTCGAACCCAGGTCGTCCACGTGCAAGGCCAGCTCCCTCCCCGCTGTACCATCCCTCCAGCCCCCTATCTTATTCTTTTTTTCTGTTTCCGCAGTGCTAGAAGCCGGCGCGTCACACGTGCGAGGCCAACACTCTGCTATGGAACCACATTCCCGCTCCTCCGCCACCCAGCTGCTTTTTAAAGTATTTTAAAGAGCTGAGGAGGTCAAAGGACAGGCGGGGGGAGGGGTGGGGGGGACGGACACACAACACACACCTCATATGGCAAGACCCCGAGCTTCGCCCCGGACACCCCCTCCGCCTGGGAGTCCCACCCCGGGCAAGGCCGGAGGTTAAGGGTCAAGTTCTGCTGGGAGTCACCCCAACGACTGCCACCACCGCGGGGTGTGGGTCCTATAACATAAAATCCTTTATTATTTTAGGGCCAGACAGTGCTTGCCTTGCATGCAGCTGACCCAGGTCTGCTCCCCAGCACCCCAAAAGCTGCCCTGAGCCCAACCAGGAGTAAGTCCGAGCACAGAGTCAGGAGTAAGCTCTGAGCATCGCTGGGTGTGACTCTAAAACCAAATCCTCCCCCCAAAAAAAGAGAAAAAAGTGTGTTTTTAAGCAAATGTGCTAGAACACTAAGCTAACCTTCCCTCTGAATATTCTGGATTAAAAAAAAGTATGAGGGGACATTGCGGAGAGGCACAGCGTTTGCCTGGCAGGTGTGAAGCTCAGGTTCAACTCCTCCACCACAAAATGGAAAAGAAACAGGAAGCCGCAGATGGCCTTCGCATGGCACACGAAGTCCCTGGCACACGAGGAACCTGTGTGAAGGACCTGCAACCATTCACATTCGCGGTTGCTGCAGCTCAAAAACGCAGAACTCAACACTACTTATTTATGGTTCTGGGACCACACAACTCCTGGCTTCCTCCGGACTCTGTGCTCGGGGGACCGCATGGGGTGCTGGGGTCGAACCCAGATCAGCTGTGTGTATGCCAAGCCCAGGACTCAACACTTTTTTTTTGGGGGGGGGCCTTTATTGGGGTCACACCCGGCAATGCACTGGGGTTACTCCTGGCGGTGCTCAAGTGACCCTATGGGATGCTGGGGATTGAACCTGGGTTGGCCACGTGGAAAGGCAAACGCCCTACCCGCTGCACCAAGGTTTTTTGTTTTTGCGTTTTGGGTCACACCCAGGGATGCTCAGGGGTTACTCCTGGCTCATGCCCTCAGGAATCATTCCTGGTAGTGCTTGGGAGACGATATGGGATGCTGGGGATTGAACCTGGGTTAGCTGTGTGCAAGGCAAATGCCCTACCCACTAGACTATCGCTCCGGCCGCTAGGACTCAACACTTGAACTGAAATACAACTCAATAATTGAAATGAAATTACAATGTGGCAGAACCACCTGCGAACGCGCTAAAATGCACTAAAGCGCACCCAAACCGGGTGGATAAATCAAGTCAAACACATTCCTGAAGCATAAACACCAACAGGGGAGAAGAAGGTGACTCATACCTAAGGCGCTCCGAAGGCCCAGTCACACCTTCATGTTGCAGAGTAAATAAAAACTGGGTGACGCCCTTCATATCAGGGAGCAGATGATGTTATCAAAAGTCATAGTTTCTCCTCAGTTTTCTTGATTCTGGGTCGCAACTAAGTTCCCAGCGCTGCTCACTCAGTCCAAGTCCTGGTCTTTCCCGTCTGTCCGGGAGCCACCAACGTCTAGCAACTGGACCAAAGGCGAGGGCTTCTGGGCTTTCACTAATGCCTCTGCATGAAAATTCCACCATTTTTCCCCCTCCTGCCTTAAGTGCTCTGATCAAAACAATGGGAACTTGTGTGGTTTCACAGACTTGCCCTTTGCAAATGTTAGCAGAGAAAAAGAGAAATTGTTATGCCTTTTGCAGCAAAACAATAGGATTAAGAGAACTTTCTGCGACATGAAGATGGAGAAAACTCAGACCCAACCAACAGCTAGCCTTGCTGTGGACACTGATGACCTTTTAAGTCTGGTCCGGTCCCAGTGGGTGTCCAAAAAGTTTCAGACCCCTTGCTTCGCCCGGTCCCCACTGGTCCATTCTGCTAATGCGAACTCCTTTTCACATTCTGTCTGCTTATGAAAAATAATTAGAAAATGTACAGCTGTGCCCAAGTTAAAAGACACCACCAAGACTGTTGATTAAGAACTTTCCCCGCTGGAGAAACCAAAAGATAAATCAGTTACCAAGGAAAAAGTCACATGGCAAACTGGTATCACAACTGAACTAGTTACACTTGCATTACCCAGTATTCTGATTAGCGGCACCATTTCCCCCTTTCTGGAGCAAAGATAATCAAGTCCACGGGGCAGTTCTTCAGCAGAAGTCTGGAAGCATCTTGTTGTGGTTGCTTAGAGATTAGTTGGGTAAAAAACAAAACCAAAGGAAACCTGCTAGATAACATGAAGCAGGGCAAAGAAACAATGTTGCCAAAATACACTCACTTCTTTCTTTTTAAATGGTTAAGATGACAAGTGTTTGGCCGGGCAGAGTGATGGATGGTACAGTGGGCAGGGAGTTTGCCTTGCATGCGGCCGGCCCGCGGGGTTCCAGCCCCAGCATCCCATATAGTTCCCTGAGTTCCAGCCCCAGCATCCCATATAGTTCCCTGAGTACCGCCAGGAGAGAGAGAAAAAAAAAAAGAGGACAAGTGTTTAATTCAATCTCTTACAGGTGACTGTGTCCATAAAATCCATTTAAACAGTTCACTGTGCCTTTTAGTGCCTTCCATCCCCGCAAGGGCTCAGAGCTCCAGACCCCACAGCAGGGGTCATGATGAAGGGAGGGATGGACAGGCACACGTAGAAGCTATACCTCCAGCCTGAGTCCAGGACAGATCGCAGATCAGTTGACAAGGAGGGTAGGACAGGCAGAGAGCCTGAAATTCCAGTCCCCCAGTGCTGCAGGCTTGCGAGTCCCAGAAACCACTAGAAGCTGCCGGTATTTATCCAAGCGCCCATCCCTCGCTTTTTCCTATGATAAAACATTAAAGAACTGCTCCGAAGATTAGGACCACAAATTGAACTTTCGAGATTACGTAACAGCCCAAGTGCTTCTCTTTCCTTAACCTCAACTCCCACAAAACCCAACTAGATTTAGAACAGAAAAAGCTGCGAGAAGGTTCAATGGCTGGGCACCAACCAAGCACTGGCTGCAAACAGCTCTTTCCAACCCGTCAGAACAGTTGAAACAGAGGCCACTTCAATCAGCGAGGGAGGTCTGGGGGAGGACCGGGAAAGGGCCTTTTCCTTAAACTGCTACAATTACCTTTGTAATCTTCTGAAACAGGTTTCTGACTGCCACCCCACAATACTAACCGGCAGCGAGTAACATTTTCAAGGGATGTTTGAAATGAACGTATGTACATACCCTTGCTATGATCTCACAGCGGCTCACAGAACTTTGCTTATCAACTTCAGATAATAAAAACCATTCTGCCCATGACTCACAGAGCTCTCGGACTCTCCTGAGCTCAAAATCGCTCCTGGCCTGGCCCTTCTTCACCGGGACTTACATTCAATGGTCAGGATTATCTGCTGACATCTCCCCTCCTCCTGTGTGTTTTGATCTTCCCAAGCTTATTTCCAACGTTCTTCAGGATGAGCCTTTTGTATTCTAGAAAGCCTAGAGATTATTCTATAAAAAGGGCTCAAGGCTTCGCCACGAGCAGCAGAGCTTGGCAAACTTAGGACCCCTTTTGGAGCTTGGTCTTGGAGAAGCCCAGCGGATTATCTGAGCGCCTGTTGGCTTCTCGGTTCAGGACACGTTTGCTGCAAATATTCCCCTGCCTGCTGATCTTTCTCGCCAATTCCGCCTCAAACCTCCCCGGGGAAGGCGTTCCCGCGCTCGGCCGGACAGTCCACCGGGCTCCGGGGCCGGCGGCGGACGCCTCCCCCTGCCAGACGGGGGCCACCCCCCCCCCAGCCCGGCGTGCCACGGATCAAGAATGCAAAAAAACCCACTTGACGTGGGGAGGGTATCGTGATGGAATGAGAAGAGCGGCTCTCAGACGCAAACCTGCCGAGCGCCCCTCCAAGGTAAGGCGATCCTGCTCGTTCCGTAGATTAAACGCATACCAGGGCGGCGCGGAAAAATCCCGAGCAGGAAGCGCCGCGAACTTGCAACAGCGCCGGAGTTCCCCGGGCCCCGTCCGTCACCCAACGCCCCCGGGGGCCGCAGGTTATTCTGTCACGACGGGTGCCCAGACCCCCCCGGGCCCATCGGCCGGGACGCAGAGTCCCCCCACGCCTCCCGCCCTCGGGGAAACCGTGGCCCTCCCTCCCACTCCTGCAGAGGAACAAGCCCCGAGCGAGGAGATGCGGCGCTGCCCCGGGCCCGGGGCAGACGCGGGACCCGCGCCCCGGCCACCCCCCGCCGCGCGCCCCGGAGCCCGGGGCTGCAGCCCCCCGGTCCCCCCGCGGCCCGCCCGGCCCGGGCCCGCGCGCACCTTGCTCTTCACCTCCATGGTGCCCAGGCAGCCGCTGCCCGGCCCGTGCCGGTGGCTGCGGTTCATGCTGCGGCCGGGCCCGCGGCGGCCTCCTCGGCCCGGGCCGCCCAGGGGAGCGCGGGGAGCGGGCGCGCGCGGCGGGCGCGGCGCCTCCTCCAGGCACCTGCGCGGCGGCTGCTCGCGCGGCGGGGCCCGCGGTGCGACTGCGGCGGCCTCGCTCCCTCCCTCCCTCCGGGTCTCGGCGGGGCCGCGGCGGAGGCGGGGGAGGGGGCGGAGCAGCGGGACGGGCGCCGCGGCAGCTGCCGACCGCCTCCCCCGCGAGCCCGCGCGCGCGCGCGTGCACCGGGCCGGCGCGCGCGCGCGCTCACCTGCAGCCCGGGCGGCCGGCGCGGAGGCTCGCGCTCCGCCCACACCCAATCGGAAGCGCGCACCTGCGCTCGCCGTGCCAACCAATGGGCACGCGAGTCGCGCGGCGCGGGGGCGGGCTCTCTGCGCCGCGGCCCCGCCCACCGCCGCGCGATTGGCCGGGCTCGGGGAGGGAGGGGCGGGATCACCTGCCGCCCGGGGCCGCCTCTCGGGACCCCGCCGGAGCCCTGGAGCGCGCATGCGCACGCGCCGGGGTTTCCGCCCGCGGCCGGCCGGCCGGAAGCGCGAGCGCACCTGGAGGAGAGCGGGCGCGGGGCTCCGTCTGCGCACGCGCGGGCAGGCAGGGTCGCGCGCGGCCTCGGGGCCCCGCCAGGTGCTCGCGACCTCCCTCCGGGCTCCCACTGCGGGCCCGGCCCCTGCCCCGATGCGGGTTTGGGCGTCAGGCTGCAACCCTGGCTGCGCATTTTTTAAGTTTCAGCCCTTCTGCAACAGTTTTCTCTGCTTTTTTTGGGGGGGGAGAACCTCCGGCCTGTTTGTGATAAGAGATAAGAGGTCGGTGGGCAGCTTTCGGGGAGAGAGGCCGGGGGGACCCGTCCAGGGACCCCTCCCCGAGGGTTTCTCATGTTAGTCGTTAATTTTTCTTTCTTGGTGACCTCTAAAGCCCGTCTCCCCCTTTGGCCAGCTTTTTCTTGGCCTCCGGCTGTTTCCATCCACCAAGCACAGTCTCGGGGCGTGTTTGTTTCCCGAGTGATGGGGCGGTGCCCCTGCTCACAGACTGAGTCCTCTCCAGACCCTCGCCCCCTGGGTGGGGTTCTCCCAAGGCCCCCATTCTGCGGGACTCCCTACCCTGCACCCCTCCTTATTGGCGGCTCTGCAGACCCAGTTCTCCCTCCTTTCTGGGCTGTTGTGTGAGTCAGGGGTGCAAGGTCAGGAAGGCAGAGGTCATGCCAGCTTGCGCCACCCACCCCCCCACCCCCCACCGCGGGAACCGAGGTGAAAGGGGGCGGGGAAGAGGGTGGAACAGGGGAATGTGGTTTGTGCTGACTTGACCCCACCTGGGTTCACCGGTGAGAAGCCCCTCTTTCCCCAGGGGGGTTTCCGTGTCCTAAATATTCGGAGTTGGAGGAGGTTTGGGGCAGCAGGACACCGGGAGCAGCTGAATAATAATTCACCTGTGAAAGAACACCCATGATGTGACACCTCCGGGCCGCGTAGCTCTGTTGCTCTCAAAATGCCTGCGTACTCCTTAAAAGCTTGGTTAGGAGGGAGCTTGGGAACCCTGGTGGAGGGAAGGGGACTCCAAGGTGGTCTCAGGGCCCGAATACTGGCTGTCTGTAACTCCGCTCCCAGTAACTCTGTAAGTCACAGCTCCTCCGGATGTGGAAACAAAACAAAACTGTTTTGCTTTCCAGTGTCAGGTGCTTCAACACTCATCCCGAGAGAAGCAAAACGTGCAGGAAACTCAGACGTCACCCGATGACGACGTCACCCGATGACGACGTCACCCCGCAGTCCTTTCTAGAAAGCCGCGGTGTCACCGATTGATCAGGGTCAGAAGAGCGGATTGTGACATCTTCCGGCTGGGGAAGTCGTGGTGGCCCGGAGCACCCGAGGGGAAAGGTCTCAGGGACGACCCTGTCCCGTGTCATTCCTCTGCTCCCCGGTGGGCAGGGCTACGCCTTGGGCACGCGTGAACAATGCTGTGGGCACTGATTTATCTCTCAGGTTCTCTGGAAGAGGAAGTCCCCGGGTGCCAGCGCACCTGCGTGGGCCTGACATTCCTGGAGGTGTCGTCACGTCCTCCTCCCCTGCCGGGGTGTGGTCGCCCTCTTGACTTGGACTTTCTCCTTTCTAGAAGTGGGGCCGCCCTGCGCTTCCTGTATCTTCTAAGAGGATTTTGCTCGGAGGCCTGCGTCATGGGAGAGCCCCGGCCGTGGAAGGAATGTGACCGCGGCAGCGGCTCCAGTTTGATAAAGGCAGGCGAGGTTGCAGGCCCTACACGCTGGCTTCCTCCTCCCTGCCTCTTGGGGGGCGTCTGGATTGCAGCTTTGCTTGAGAAGTGTCAGACCCCCAGGAATGGCAGCAAGAAACGCTTAGATTCCTGACCCCTCCCCTATCTGTCTCTCTCTCTCTCTCTGTGTCTCTGTCTCTCTGTCTCTGCCTCTCTCTGTCTCTCTGTCTCTCCTTCTCTCTTTTGTATGGGGGGGAGGCGTACCCAGCGTGCTCAGGGCACTGATTCTGCTCTCCGGGAACCTTCCTGGAGGGGTTGGGGGCTGGAGGCAAGGCAAGCACCCTCCCTGCTGGACTATCTCTCTGGCCCCCAGATTCCTATTTCTTGGTGTGAGGACTGAACCCTAATCTTATTTCTCTCCATCATCCCTCCCCACCCCCCAAATCCTCAAGCCAAAGCTGATAAGACTCTGGCGTGCAATGAAAAGCGAGTTCCAGGCCCTGGGAGAAGGTGTGCTCAGGAATTAGGGAGATAAACCGGGCGGGCGGGCGGAGGACATGGGCTCTAGAAATTACAGGGTCGCAAAGTCATTAGCTGGAGGTGGGGGGCTGGGGAGCAGCCCGCCCACAGCTGCCGGCGGCTCTGGGACTCTGGCACACTCCAACCCCCTGCGCTGCCATGTCTGCGTCTGTCTCCCTCTGCGACCTGTCAGGCATGAGTTCACCCGAGTGTGTGGTTGTGTCTGGGGTGAGGTGGGGTATTTGTTGTTTTCAAACACAGTTTTATAGATTCACAGCAAGAAAGCAAAAAAGAGAGAAGAGAGAAAGAAAGAAAAAGGAAGAAGAAAAGGAGAGGAAAGAAAGGAACCAAGGGGGAGACAGGGAGAGAGAGAGAGAGGAAGAGAGGGAAAGAGAGAGGGAGGGAGGGAGGGAGGGAGGGAGAGAGAGCGGCAGGCCAAGATACCTCAAGTAATGGTGAGTTTTTTTTTTTTCCTCTAAGAAGATTCTCTTGCTGGGGCCAGAGAGATAACACGATGCATGGGGAAATCACTTGCCTTGCACACAGTTTGACCTGGGTTCAATCCCTAGCACCCAAATGCCGCCAAAAACTACCCCAGAGCACAGAGTCAGAAATAAACCATGAACGGCTCTAGGTGAGATCCACACCCCCCCCACTCCACACACACCCTGCTGCAAAAAAAGAAAAAAAAGTCTCTCTTGCCAGCCCTCTTTCTCCTTGATCGCCCAAGTTTCAGATCTGATGGTTAATGATTCTTTGAGAAAGAAGTGAAGAGTGTATTTATGAATCTCAGACGACTCACCAAGGCATTTTAAGCCCTTTTGCAGAGGTGGAATTAAGTCACATGGTCTGCCTTCTGGTTAATAGCTTAGAGCGCTCAGGCCTTTGTGTGGGGGCGGGCAGGGCTCTGGGCCCGGGAAGCCAGGAAGGGAAATTAGCTCCAGTGACCTTTAAGAGGCCCTCTCAGGCAAAGGCCCATCTGTAATCCAGTGGACAAGATGCTTTCCTTACTCGCAGCTTTCCTTACCTGGCACCCTAGATGATGCCCCAAACCCCACCAGGAGTCAGCCCTGAGCACAGAGCCAGGAGTCAGCCCAGAGCACAGAGCCAGGAGTCAGCCCAGAGCACAGAGCCAGGAGTCAGCCCTGAGCACAGAGCCAGGAGTCAGCCAGGAGTCAGCCCTGAGCACAGAGCCAGGAGTCAGCCCTGAGCACAGAGCCAGGAGTCAGCCCAGAGCACAGAGCCAGGAGTCAGCCCTGAGCACAGAGCCAGGAGTCAGCCCAGAGCACAGAGCCAGGAGTCAGCCCTGAGCACAGAGCCAGGAGTCAGCCCAGAGCACAGAGCCAGGAGTCAGCCCTGAGCACAGAGCCAGGAGTCAGCCCAGAGCACAGAGCCAGGAGTCAGCCCTGAGCACAGAGCCAGGAGTCAGCCCTGAGCACAGAGCCAGGAGTCAGCCCAGAGCACAGAGCCAGGAGTCAGCCCTGAGCGCAGAGCCAGGAGTCAGCCCAGAGCACAGAGCCAGGAGTCAGCCCAGAGCACAGAGCCAGGAGTCAGCCCAGAGCACAGAGGCAGGAGTCAGCCCTGAGCATAGAGCCAGGAGTCAGCCCTGAGCACAGCCAGGAGTCAGCCTAGAGCATTGCTGGTGTAGCCTAAAAAAAAAAAAAAAATGGAACAAAAGCCCCTGGTGAGACAAGGCCCTCGCAGAGGCTCCTTCTTGTGGAGGTCACATCTGTCCTCTCACCTCCCTGAGATGCCTGTTCTCCTTCGGTCACTGCAGAGGCCAGATGGCACCATCCCTGCGGTGCTGTCCAGCCCTCGGCCTGCCCTGGTGCCGAGTGAGGAGACGGACCCTCCTTTGACTTGAACAGAAGTGCAGGAAGGGAAGGACTGTTCCCCTGGGCATGGGTCAGGGCCGTGGTTCTCCGCTGCTCCTTGGTAGGGGTGATGGTCTCTCACCGTTTGGAGGGTCCTGCCGGCAGCCAGGCATCGGTGTTCCAGGGACTGTCCCCTTTTTTTTAGGGACGTCAGTGCCTGGACGCACCTGTCCTTTGCTGCTGGGCCCTCCTTCTGGGCAGTTACAGGCGTTCAGCACTGAGTGTGTTTTAGTGGCCGCTGTTGTTTCAGGGCCTTGCTGGCTGATGGCATCGATCCGGTTCCATTGTTTTTCCCCTTCTTGTTTTGGGGTCAGTCCCAGCGATACTCTGGGGTTACTCCTGGCTCTGCACTCAGAAGTCACACCTGGCGGTGCTAGAGGGAATGTGTGGGATGCTGGGGATTGAAGCGTGCAAGGCTCTAGCCACTGGGCCATCTTTCTGGCCCCAGATGATCCAGTTCCTTGGCCTGTCCCCGAGCCTCGAGTATCTCTTCTCAGCAGCGAGGTGACAGAGCACATCTCCTTTTGGGAATCGGCTGAGAAACTGTTTATGGGCACCTCTGCGTACCCTCCTTGCGGGGTGAATATTTAACTGTACAACTTTAAGTTTCTTTCTTTTTTG